GGGGCCTAGTCACATAGCTTGTTTGTCTTATATTTGAAAAAAAATCATTCTTGGTTGTGAAAAGTTTCAACATTTGATCTCTACAAGCCAAGACAGTTCATGAAGAAGGAATAATAAAAACTGGATTCACCTGACTTTTTACCTGATCTCTTGGGAATCGTTCAGCAGGAAAAATTTCCTTTCTGTCCATATCTGTTCCCACAGGGAAATGATGTGCTTAGAAATTGAAGTAGCAATAGGAAGTGTGTCTAATGAGCACATATATGAAGTAGATACAGCAGGTATATAGAGCTGTAAATATATTCACTCCTGCAGTCCATGAGCACTTTGAGTTGGAGGAGACATGGTGTCTGCATTTGAATTCCTATGTCTGGTTCAAGAGTTAAGGCTCCTTCCTGCTGTCCTGTCCTGCAGCAGCTTCAGTCTCCACCCAGGGAATATTTCTGACTTCTCCACATTGACCCAATCCCGGTGAGTCTGAGAACCCAGTAGATAATTCAGGAAAGAATCAGAGCGAATGGAAGAACCAAGATTCTTGTTGTTTGCTTGAATAACCAATTGATTTATAATCAATTTATAAAATACATTAGAAAAGAAGTGTCTGTTGACCTCAGCAATACAGAAATGTTGTTGAAAATTAATGTGAATAAAAATTCATTTAGGTAAGCCTAAAGAAGGAATGAAAGGCATAGGCTTGCCAGTAAAATTTGAAGATTTCCAAAGAGTTTTACAGTTAAGAATATGAAAATAGAGTATTTTGTGAGGGCTGTGCAGTAAGTGTGAACATAAAAGTGTGGACATAAAAAAAAAATAAAGACGGGGTTTATTTGAGCATGTTCTGTATGCATTAGAAAGCTTGAGCTCCATAGAGGTAGCTATTATCTTGCAACTGCGTTCTTGAGACATAGATTTTATAATTTATTCTACCACATTGAGTATTCCCATGAAAAAGTAACCTTTTCATTTAATAAGCAAACAGGCTTATGATAAAGGGTTATTATTTTATTACCTGGGATAGTGAATATAATTTTGGCTGTGCTATTAATTGACCATCTGTATTGCAAATTGTCTCTATAATTAAGCATTTTATTTATGTACTGGGGCTTGCATGTTTGTATTTATGTTTTTAACTTTCAAACAAAGAATCATAACTTTTAAACTGGATTTATGATTGCTATTTGTTTCTTTAGTTTTGTACAGATTTTTTTTTAAAGATTTATTTATTTATATAAGCACTGGGTACAGTCAGGAGCGTGGGAGGGTGAGAGGATTCACCAGAGCCAGAGCGGGGAGCAGAACAGACAGACTGATGAAATACACTGCAGAGGGGAGCAGCGGGCAGCAGGAGAGGTCTGCGCGCCATGTGGGACCCTCGCCGGTGGCTGGGGATCGAACCGGCACTGCAGAGGCTGCAGGCAGCTTCGCAGCCCAGCGCTCAACCGCTGCGCCACTGGGGGAGGCCCTGTACAGATATTTTTTAAGTTGTGTAAGAGTTTATGATTTAGTGGCCAATCTATTCGTTGTTTATATTTTGTCCCCCAATTCATTGCCTTTTAAACATGAAAGTTATTCTGTATTCTTAATAGTAATAAATTGTCTTTTATATGCATTACTATCTAATTGCACATATATTTTTCCTTTGTTACCTTTTGCCTTTTGTGATTAGATCTATTTTTTTTTTCCTTAAAAGCAAACACTTCCCACCATCTGTGGCATACATTATTTTGTCTTCGGCTGATTGCTTATATCTTTTTAATAAGCATGTTTGAATTTTCTTATGTTTATATAGGATGAAATTACAATCTTAGACATTCTTCCTCCAATATTTTCATTTATATATTTTTAAGATTTATTTATATTTGCATAGAAGAACTGGGGGAAGTGGGATGGGGAGGTGGTGAGAGACAGAGTGGGGAGCAGAATAGACCAATTTACTGAAATACATGCTGAGAGGAGCAGGGGTTGAGACAGGAGAGGTCTGCTGTGCCATGTTTCTTAGCTCCCTGACTGGGGATGGAACTCAGGTCTTAGAGATGATAGCACTGAGACTTAACCCCTAGGTCACCAGGTAGGCCCCATCCAATGTTTTTAGATATATTTTCCTCATCATTTTTCTGGCTTTTGCCTAATTCACTTTGCCTATTTTGCCCATCTCAGGTTGACTTATAGATTATTTTTGTGAGAATTATTTTTTAAGATTCTCAAAGGAAATGACTCCAGGCAGTTTGAGAGAGGAGATGGGATTTGATGGAGAACGTTTGAAAAACTCAAGTGGATCAGTGGGTGAGACTTGAAACAGAACAAAGCAGATACAAAAATGCTCTGAGCTGGAAGCCATGGCATCAGGTGAAAGTGCAAGTCCAGGTCAGTGTCTGTGAGATCAGGATGGGTACGTGCAGGGCAGTGTGAGGGTAAAGCTGGTAGTCCAGTCAGAGGAGCTTCAAGCTCACCTCTGAGGCTGAGGTTTTTTGTTTTTTTTTTTTTTTAATATAATTTTGACTTTATTCTCCAGTGGGATGTCCCTGGGAGGGTGTTAAGATGGAGGAAAGATTTTCAAGAAAGAAGGAAACAATGAGCCAAATTTCACTAGTGATAACTATTTGTTTACTCACATGAAGTTAACAGTGCTGACCTTTATAAAAATATGTTGGTTAAATATGGTTTGTTTCTTAAGCATACAGGTACTGCTATACCCCTATTTGGGTGACAGTATTATTATTTAGCCTGGCTAAATGTTAAATTGTTGGACTCCAAATTCAAACAGCAAATATGTGTATATACAAATTACAGAGGCCAAGTCTCTGATTACAAAAGCTTTGCTTTTACATAATATAGAAAAGTCTTTTACCAGATAATTTTTTTTTAAATCCCCCATCTTTGGGCCTCCCTGATGTGCAGCAGGTTGAGTGCAGCGCTGTGAAGCTGTCTGCAGCCTCTGCAGCGCCGGTTTGATTCCTGGCCGGCCGGGGAGGGTCCCACATGGCGCGACAGACCTTTCCTGCCACCCGCTGCTCCCCTCAGCAGTGTATTTCAGTCCTTCTGCATGTTCTGATCCCTACTCTGTCTCTGGTGAATTCTCCCACCCTCCCGCTCCTCTGGCCTGTGCCGCAGTGCTTCTATAAATAAATAAAGCTTTTTTAAAAAATCCCCCATCTTTGCTATATTTTGTGTACTTCTTTTAGTGAGCCATGGGTTTATTTCTGTTGTTTAATTTTTCTAGTGAGATAATCAACCAGGTGTCTTGAAATTGTGAAGATATCACTCCTTGGTCATTTGAATAAAGTGGGTTTTGCTGCTTTGGTGGTTGGTTATACAAGCGTCAGGAGGATACAACTGGCCTTGGAAGGCTGCCAGGACCAGGGAGCTTCTTCTCTCACAGTCTCTCAGGGAGACCCTGAGCTTATTAGATTTATTTTTTTAGCAATGTGTCTTTCTCCCCTTTCTTCAGCTTTTTGAACTTATTTTTTTTTTCAAACAAAATGTAATTTTTATTAAGTTGGCAAAGACTTTTAAAGAGTTACAGAATTGGGTATTGACTGACTTGTGCACTGCAGGCACTATGGTATTTTACTGTAGAAAATGCCAATTTGCACTGTCTTTCTAGACATGTGCTGTTCAAAAGAAATTTCTGTAATGATGGCTATGCTCTATACCTGTAATGTCCAGTAGTGGAGCTACTAGTACTATGTTACTATTAAGCACTTAAAATGTGGCTGCTGAAATCAAGAAAGTTAACTTTTTAGTTAAATTTAATTCCTTTAAGTTCATTTATTTAGGTGAAGATAATATTTTTATGGAGATTTTAGTTTATAACATTGTCTGTGATTTAGAGATACAGGATCACACCTTTCACGTGTATGTTACCACACTACACTCACTGCCAAATGCTAGCTATGAAATTGATCCCTTCTACCCATTAACCTAATTTTTAAGATATTTATTTAAAATGGGGCACAAAATAGTCATATTAAAATGGATTCCCATCTTTATTTGTCCATGGAGGGCTATTAACTGGAATTTGGGTACTGTTTCTACTTTAGGGAAAGGTAATCTGCTGTAGACAATTTACCTACGGGCCTCAGAGTGGGCTGAGAGTGTGTGTGTGTGTGTGTTTTGTAGGGCATAAGCAGTTCTTAGAGAAGGGGTAATGGAGCCCATATTCCCAAAATGATCCTTCAAATATAGGTGCCAGAATATTAATCAACATAAGAAAAATTAAGCAGAGATCAATTTCTATTCACAAGCTTCATTGGAAATAAAAATAGTAAAGTGCAAGGAAAACATGGGAACTGGATGTTTGTGACCTGAAGTCTCAGAGGCATCAGGGAGGACACCTGGCTCCGTAACACTCTCTCACCACCTACCACCAGCCTCTCTGATTCATGCCCTTCCATTGACCATCTTCCTTTTTATGCCTGATTTTCTGAAAATGTGCCTTTCCCACAGCTGCTGCACTAGCTCCTTTTTTGGACTATATACATTCCCCTGATAATTTGTGTTTCCTACCCTCTCTTTCTTTGAAGGTCTCTGTACAAATGTTTTGCAGTTTATGAGAACACCAAAGAACAACCCATTCTCTCTCTCTTTTATACTTGTTACTTGTTTTCATTTTCTTCATAGCACCATCCACCATCTGATAATTCATATGATTTTTTTATTTACTTATATTTCTTCACAACATTGAACTATAGGGACTTCTTAGTACACTATACACTTTGTCTAGAAGTTAGCCAATTCTCAATTTACATGTTTCCAAACACATGATAGAATTTCTCATTAAAAGTGTGGAATATATATGTGTGGAATATATATGACCTTGTGGGGAAGGAATTCTTAAATACAGATGCCATGGGGATCCATACACGAATTATGTGGATATTGATATGGATATTGATTTTTTTAATGGAAAATATAACTTGCAAAATTTCAACTGTGTTTATATGCTCCTTGTAAGGAAAACTGGGTGCTATTTTTCACTTTTTGGTAGGCACCTTCACAATATGGAGCCAAGGAATGATACACAAATTTCAGAATTTCTTCTTCTCGGGTTATCAAAGGAGCCAGAATTGCAGCCCCTCCTATTTGTGCTTTTCCTCTCCATGTACATGATCACTGTGTTTGGAAATCTGCTCATCATCCTGGCTGTCAGCCTACACTCTCACCTCCACACACCCATGTACTTCTTCCTCTCCAACCTGTCCTTGGTAGACATCTGCTTCACCTCCACCACAGTTCCTAAGATGCTACAGAACATCAGGACACAGAGCAAAGTCATTACCTATGATGGTTGTATCACCCAGATATACTTCTTCCTGCTCTTTGCTGGATTAGACAACTCTCTCCTGGCTGTGATGGCCTATGACCGCTTTGTGGCCATCTGCCACCCCTTGCAGTACATGATCATCATGAAGCCCTGGAACTGTGGACTGCTGGTTTTGCTATCCTGGATCATGAATATCCTGAATTCCTTGTTACAAAGCTTAATGGTGTTGTGGCTGTCATTCTGCACAAACTTGGAAATTCCTCACTTTTTTTGTGAAATCAAACAGGTGGTCCAACTTGCTTGTTCTGACACCTTTATTAATGACCTGGTGATGTATTTTGCAGCTGGGTTGCTGGGTGGTGTCTCCCTTTCTGGTATCCTTTACTCATATTTTAAGATTGTTTCCTCCATATATGGAATCTCTTCAACTAAAGGGAAGTATAAAGCATTTTCCACCTGTGCCTCTCACCTCTCAGTTGTCTCCTTATTCTACTGTACGGTCCTAGGAGTGTACTTTAGTTCTGCCGCTACATACAACTCACACTCAAGTGCAATAGCTTCAGTGATGTACACTGTGGTCACGCCCATGCTGAACCCCTTCATCTATAGTCTGAGGAACAAAGACATAAAGAGGGCCTTGGAAAGATTCCTTGGATAACAGCTGTAGAAAGGCCAATTATCCTCAGCTAAAGCAGTGTTCATGATTATAGAACTCAGTCTCAGAGCCAAAAATACCTTTTCTATTATCAGATTGGAGAAGTACAACTTTTTCTCTTTATTTATATGCTTCCTGTTCTTTCCATTTCTTGGAATTCAACTTTTCTGTTCAGTTTCGGTAACTCATGTCATTAAATTTCTGCTCTGTTTAATACATAGAAAGTTTTTCCTTTGTCCATTTTTATTCCAAATTTTTGTTTTTCCCCAAATACAGACCAAAAACACTTGGAAATTTTCGTATCTTACATGAACAACTTTGATTTCCTAAATATATCTTATTTTTCAATGAAATAAATCATGCCAAGTAATTTCCCCAAGTTTACCTGAGACAATAATAACTAGTTTTACTAAGGCAATTACCTCATTTCATTGTAAACAAAAAAAATTGCCACATTTTTCATTTTGAGTCCATCATTGTTTCATACCAATATCAAAACTGCTCATCCTGTATCCAGCTATATCATCCTGATACGAACTCTATCATTGTTCTACTTAAGCCTCAGCCTTTTGACAATGATGCTACTGGGCCTGTGCCATGTCCCGGCAAAAGTATCTCTGTCCAGAACCAAGCTGCTGTAGCAGGAGGAGCCCTTCTTGTTCTTAACATGATTGCAAGAAACAGCTCAGCAACAATCATCAGAGATTTAAAACAAGAATGCAAAAAGTAAATTCTATTGTTCACAGACCCGAGAGAGTACATGGCATATCCAGGGCACAGGACCAGGAAGCATTTCCTTTGGGGGGACCCAAGGACAGAATGCCTAGGGTTTTGAATGTTTACTTGATTGGTGCATTTAAAACAGAGTGGCAATGAGGACGAAAATGGAAAAGTATGGTCAGTCATCTAGGTTATTGGAAACTTTCTAAAAGGAGGACATACGGGTGAGACAGCCTGCGTTCTTATCTCACAGCCAGGTCATTCAGCTGGAAATGCACTTATTAGGAGGGGATGTCCAGGGAATCAAAAGCTTAATATGCTACTGTATTTTATTTTATTTTTTTTAATTAACATTTTTTATTATGACTTCTAAAAAGAGGACAATGTATAAAAGGCAATGAATTTTTGTGGTATAATACAACTTTAAGAGATAAAAAATATATTTACAAATTAATATTATAAATCCCTATATAAACTTCCATTGATATTTCAGTTTTTATTGTAATATAGCTAATAATCCAGTCACAAATATGATGTACTCTTCAAATGAAAATATGTAACTCTTATTCATGACATATAGTACATCATTCGATATAGCAATGCAGTTGTTTTTTCTATATCCATATCTGTGCAAAATCATTGTTGAAGACATGCACACTAATCTTTTCCATCTCTTTAAAAATTAATTAATTAATTAATTAATGTTTGTGTGGAAATTTAAGAAAGTTTTCTTCATTCTGATGAATTATTTATTGAATTTACTCTTATGGTTCAATTTTTGTCATGACAATACAAATTTAAGTTTTTAGTTTGGTTTAACTGAATTTAATTCCAATACCACATTCCAAATAGATTATTTACGGCATTAACATTTTGCTATAAATTAAACCCCTTATTTTCAGACAGTATTTGATTTATAATAAAAAATGAATAACCTCACATTAATGGATATTAAAATATTTATTGTAAAAACAAGAAAAATCCATTTATACTGAGTCAGATTTGAACAGCCAATGGACAATGCATGTCTGTACAAGTAGAGAAGATTCTTTGAATACAAAAATTAGAGGGTTACAGTATTTGGAACATCTGAAAAGATATGTAACAGATTGAGAAAGATTTTTTTTTTTATTTTTAAAAGCATAATAAATAAGCTATTATTCAAAACTAGTGTCTTCTAGACTTTCACTAAAGTAACAAATATGTCATTTGCTCCAAGGTACAGACATCTCTAAGCTCATGCTGTCTTTTTTAATTGTTTTCATTACTGGAAGGAAAAAAAATGCAATTTTGTTTTTATTTATTTATTTTTTTATATATATACTTTCTTTTTTTAATGATAAATTTTATTTTTATATTCCCCATACAATTGCAACCCCCCCATTCTGACCCCAATCCCTCCCCTCCCACCCCAAATGCCCAAAAATAGATGACTGGATCAAGAAGATGTGGTACATATATACCATGGAATATTACTCAGCATTCAAAAAAGATAAACACATGCAATTTGCAGCAACATGGATGGCACTGGAAGGGATCATGCTCAACGAAATAAGCCAGAAAGAAAAAGAAAAATACCAGATGGTCTCACTCATAGCAGGAATCTAGAAAACTTAAATAAGGGACCAGGAAAATGAATAACTATAAGAAAGTGAAAATCAAAATCAACAAAAAACTATGAACCAGAGACACTTTTTGGGGGGTGGGGGGCTACTGTATTTTACAACTGCTCTTCTGGTTTTATTGTCTTATTCAGCTAGATCTCCAGAATAGCTAACATAGTCACTGGCAAAACTTGATTATCAAATATATCTCCCAGTGGAATCTACATTGAAAAGCAAAATTGAACAAATAGATTGACCGAATATGATCACTGAGTCAGAAATGATCTTATGAGGAGACAAAATTTTAAGTCACTAATTTTATGACTGTGGAAAATACTTCTTTACATGTTGTACATCTGCACAGTTACATGAGGACAGATTTATGCTTGGGGAATGACTATTGGTTGTACTTTATCATTTTAATGAATTATCTTACTGTTTCTGCTTGAAAATACCAGTGCTGCCTACAAGTATATATTCTCTTTTGTTCTAAACAAAATAGCTCCCCTTTTTAAATTTTGTAATTGTCCGGAGCCACCTGGAGCATGCGCCATGTTGCGCATGTGCTCGATGAGTTAGGTTTCGATTTACTGTTTCGCTTTCGGAGAACCACAGGTTTTTCCTGTAAATCACATGAGACTGGGAGGTATGGGGGGAGGAGCTACGAGGGTATAAGAGGAGAACATGGGAGAGAGGGGAGAAGAAAAGAGATTTAAGAGGAGAACCATGAGAGAGGAGAGTGCTGCGAGAGGAGCAGAGAGAAGGCCAGGGAAGTAAGAAAGATAGGGAAAAGAAAGACATGGAAAAGTAAAAGAAAGGAAAAGGAAAAATAAAGAAGCATGCGCTAGCATCAAGTTGTCTCAAGCCCCTCATTTCAATCCTCAGCCCTTCTCTTTTCGTGCCTACGAATGCTGCGGGTCGGGACAGGTGGCGCCCAACGTGGGGCACAAAAAAGAATGAAGGAACCGCTGAAGGACCAGCTATGGTGAGCCAGCAAGTAAAGTAAAGTAAGGTAAGGTAGCTGGGATTCATGGGAAATTCAATCTCCAACGGGCTATTAGTTATTTCCCTGGAAGCTCTCCTAAAAAAGTTTGGGGTTCCTCTTAGTAAGAAAACTTCTTAAAAGATTTGTAGAGACCCTTAGTATCACTAGTAAGTGGTTTCTGGAGCAGGATCAGGTCGATAGTGCCAATTGGAATAAGGCAATAGGAGACAGGGGAGGAGCCAACATTCAATTAACAAAGGTCATTCAAGGGTCAACAGAACCATATGCGGAGTTCCTAGCAAGATTGATGACTGCAGCTGGCCGAATTCTAGGTAACACTGATGCCTCCCTACCGATAGTTAGACAGCTTGCATTTTGAAAATGCTAATAAGTGGTGTTAGGAAGCTATTAGGCCCTGGAAAGCTCGGGCTAGTTTGTATGATTATGTGAGACTTTGTTAGGATATTTGTGTATGTAATAATCGTTCATGTCTGGACTGGCGCCCTTTTGCCCTGGTGGGCCAGGGTGAGGTGAAATTATATAATGGCACTTATTCTGCAAACAGTACCTTTGAACAATCCATTAGTGTCCAGAATAATGGGTCGGAGAGTTTGTCTGCTGCTGTCTGTTTGTCCCCTCCCTTCTTTCTTGTCCTCTCCAATAATGCAGGAAATGCCATTGTGTTGAACTGTTCAGCGGAGACCTGCGCCCTCTCTGCCTGCTGGGCCCGGAGTGCGGAGAGGGCGGTGATCGTTCGTCTACCTTCTACTTTAATCATGCCTATGGTTGTTTCTGCACACCTTTCCCCTGTTCTACCTAGGAGGAGACGTGATTTTAGCATCACTGCAGCTATTGTCGCCGTTTCAATAGTGGTGGCTGCGGCTGTGGCTGCGGCTGTTGCCACCGTTGCTGCCACTCAAGCTGCTGCAAATACGGACACTATGGACAATTTAGCTGCTGGTGTTGCTTCTGTGTTGTCAACACAGTAAGATATGAATGGACATTTGCGAAATGGACTTTTTGTGCTTGGTCAGCAGATAGCTCTAATGTAAAAAGGGATAGACACACTTTTGTTAACTGCTCACATACCTTGTAACCCTTTGTACCGTTTTATTTGTGTTACCCCTGTTAGGGGTGAGGGTCTCATTGCCTGGTTTAAAGGACTCCTCCCAGAGTTGCAAGCTTGGGGCAGGGTGGTAGCCTTAGCTCTTGGCTGTTTGTGCCTTCAGTGTATGGTTTCTCTGTCGGCTACGGAAGCGAAACAAAGAACTATTGGGCTATTGCGGTCAGGCAAGTACTTGGCACCATGGTACTTGACCAGGACTCCCCAGTGGCACCTGGATGGGTCACCTTAGTCTTAGAGAACCTGTAAGCCAAAGATTGGTAAGAGCGTAGCCCATCCAGACCAACCTAAGACAGCAGTCCAGACCAAGTGCGCCGGATTAGCAATGATGGGTAAGACTGGTCATGGGATGTGCCAACCTAAGACAGGCCAGGTGTCTCATTTAAAAGAAAAAATGGGGAGATGTCCGGAACCGCCTGGAGCATGCACCATGTTGTGCATGTGCTCGATGAGTTAGGTTTCGATTTACTGTTTCGCTTTTGGAGAACCACAGGTTTTTCCTGTAAATCACATGAGACTGGGAGGTACGGGGGGAGGAGCTACGAGGGTATAAGAGAAGAAAACAGGAGAG